AGTGCTAGGGCTGAGGCTGATGACGTTTCACGAGGACACGAGAACGCACACGTATACAGATTGAGAAACGGCTTAAGAAATCGAGGGCGTTTTTGTCTCAACCATCCCGTCTTGGTGTCTCATGATCCCCCTGAGAACCCTGTTTGAAATATGGAGGAAGTGCGAGGGCTATCACAAAAACCTCACATATTATTTAAATCAAACATGATTTCTACTTTTCCAAACAAGAAAAAAAACCAGACACTAACAATTTAATTTCATGGTTTCTAAGGGCTGGTGACTATTTTGCAACCATAAACTGTGCTTACCTGTTTGCCATTATGTGTGACTGATGAGAGGATGGTACGCAAAGTCTTGAACCCCATGGCGATGTCCAGCAGATGGGCAGCAAAGAAGAAGTTGTTGTAGTGACCCAGGATGGACATGGTCATGTACCAGGCCAGGTAGAGGAAGGACTGCAGAGAGGAAGCAGAGACTGAGCAGCAGCTTGATGCAAAACCATTTTTGGGCTTTATTCAGGTAGAGATGAAGGGATGACATACTAACAATAGCGTCCTTTGCTATCACCATGCTAACATTAGCCCTCATTGCCATCACTATGCTAACATTAGCCCTAATTGCCATCACTATGCTAACATTAGCCCTAATTGCCATCACCATGCTAACATTAGCACTTGTTGTTATGACCATGCTAACATTAGCCCTAATTGTCATCACCATGCTAACATTAGCACTTGTTGTTATCACCATGCTAACATTAGTCCTCATTGCCATCACTATGCTAACATTAGCCCTAATTGCCATCACCATGCTAACATTAGCCCTAATTGCCATCACCATGGTAACATTAGCCCTCGTTGCCATTACCATGCTAACATTAGCGCTTGTTGTTATCACCAGGCTAACATTAGCACTTGTTGTTATCACCATGCTAACATTAGCCCTTGTTGCCATTACCATGCTAACATTAGCGCTTGTTGTTATCACCAGGCTAACATTAGCACTTGTTGTTATCACCATGCTAACATTAACCCTAATTGCCATTACCATGCTAACATTAGCGCTTGTTGTTATCACCAGGCTAACATTAGCACTTGTTGTTATCACCATGCTAACATTAACCCTAATTGCCATTACCATGCTAACATTAGCGCTTGTTGTTATCACCAGGCTAACATTAGCACTTGTTGTTATCACCATGCTAACATTAACCCTAATTGCCATTACCATGCTAACATTAGCGCTT